TTTGCGACAAGACCGAGACCTTTCCACATCATGAGACCGGATGCTATTACGTTGCAAAAGTTCAAAGCTTGTAGGAGTGCCTATGTGGCCATTCGTCCACGTTAAGGAAAAGGTGTAAGCAATACTCTCAGTTGTTGTTCTTGACTGCAGTCACCAACCTGTCGAGGTCCCATACGTCGAAGTGCTTTTATTTCATCGGCGAACATTTTGGAAGGAGTGGATAGAGACCAATAGAATAGTCGAGTGGCTGTGTCGAGCCGCGTTCAGAGCCTACTACCTCCCAATGTCAATGAGCACGCTCAGAGAGCCCGTTGCACGCTGTAGACCACTTGTTCAGGGATCTCCACCACGTATAAAAGCGGTTATACTCAAGGCAACGCAGACTATGAGCGTGCAACCAGAGAGCAATGACCCCCCTTCGGCGTTGGTGGCGCAGTTTCTTTCAACTTGTCGTGTTTACTTGTTACTAACATAATCTTAGCATTCAATTTGTGCTGAAACCTCCGTCTAATCGGCGTACTCTAGCAAACTCATCGTCATCAAGCGATACGCTTGCTAGACAAGTTTCGAACCCCATATCTGCCAACCCTTCGAAACTCCCGGGTATACAGCCTTCCTATCGCTCCAAACTCTCTGCAACACTCTCTCGGACTGACGGAGCTGGCTCAACTCGTTCTCCCTCTCTCAAGAAAACGATGCCTAGGAAAAAGACACCTAGTGCCAGGAATATCGCTACGACAGCGCTCGCGCCTGAACTAGTGCATGGCCAAGAATCTGAACGGGCCCAAATTCTCTATACTTACACTACGTTTGAGCCGAAGCCAAACCGATTGTATGTCAAGACAGCTGCCGAAGCAAACCGCATGTTAGAATCTATGACTGGCCCACTGGGGTTCGACATGGAATGGAGAATCTTGTATAGGAAGAATGGTTCACAAAACAAAACATTTCAAAGGCCTGTAGCCGTCGTTCAAATTGCAAATCGGAGGTCCATACTCATCATCCAAACGAGCGCGATGAAGGGTGGGGTAGAGATTTATCTGCGCATA